AGTCTAGAACCTTAAAAAAGTTTCTTAAAATGGTACCCAAATCTAGAACCATAAAAGGTTCAAGATCGTTGATAGAACCGTTTATAGTTTCATATTGCACCTTTTTTTTTAGAGTCTGATATGTTTTTTTCGACCCCAATCAAGCAAGATAACAAACAAATGCATTTTATTTCGTATGACCCCCTTCAGTCGAGGGAACTACGTGCAAAACAAAGATTTCGATTCCTTAGTAACGTTCCATCAAAAGAGCAAAAATACTTAAAATAAAAAAGTTGATTTCTGATTAGCCAGCTCCCGACCAATGAAACGTCAACCAAAAAAAAGTATTTCGGGTTCGGACTCAGAACCCTCGATGGTCTCTATCAAAGTTTCATCAAGACGGCGAAAAGCCTTAAGAACCAGTTCTTGTAAGCAACGATCGAAGTTGCTCAATCGATATCATCAGAACTTGTTCAATTGAAGATATGTTATAAAGAAAAGAGCTTTATGACTTTTTGACACAAAAAGGTTCAAAAACTATTGAACTCTCGATTCTTTTTATGAGCATTATACGAAAAGACCTAAAAATGACCCTATATATAAATGGGGATCCTAATGCAACGATATCTCACGAATGGCACAACCAAATGAGCTGAAATTTTTTACTATCATGCATCCCAATGAATTCTATTTTCCATAGAATTTTCGTTTTAAAATATTGAGCCATTGAAATTTTATAACGCACTCAATATACGGACAAAGGGCCATTTATGGTAACTTTAGCACTTCATAACTTTTTATAGGAATTATGTATGGCTCTCAAATTTTTACTAATAATAGGAAACTAAAAGTTGTATGTCTCCTGAAAATTTCAGCTATTCATATCGTTTGATTTGCTCACGGTAGCCCCGTGAAAAACGGAATTTTGATAAATGTGGGGACTTTTAAGATAGGCTTTCTCCCAAGATCTCGATTATGTGGGACGTTGGTTATTAGAACTTGAAAGTACTCTCTTCGGGCTACAATTTTGTAAGAAAATCAGCGTGGGACCTCCAACAACGGCTCCAGGGCACTCATTGCAAAATATGAAAAAGTGAGCCTTTTTCTATAGGAAATCTACTCAAGTGCAATTGAAAATTCCTTCAAGGAAATAAGTATGTGGTATAAAATTTATGTAGTAATAATCAGCATTAAATTCTCCATTGCCCTATATCAAATATCCTTTCAAAATGAAAAAAAAATTTTTTAGGAAAAATCTCCGCACCCCCCTCCAGGTCTTTCTTTAACATTTTATTCTCACAGCCCCTGTACCCCCCTAGGACGATTTTTCGTAAAAATTTTTTTTTCATTTTCAAAGGATATTCCGATACAGACTAACAGAAAATCAGATGCTGATTTTTACCATATAAAATTTATGTCACATAGTAGAATCCTTGAAGGAATTTCGAAGTACACTTGGGGTAGATTTCCTATAAAAAAGGCTCACTTTTTTGTATTTTGCAATGAGTGCCCTGGAGTCGTTCTTGGAGATCCCACGCTAATTTATTTACAGAATTGTAGCCCAAAGAGAGTACTTCCAAGTTCTAATAACCAACGCCCCAGGCAATACATATCTTGGGACAAAGCGTATCCTGAATGTCCCCACATTTAGCAAAATTCCGTTTTTTCACGGAACTGCCCTGAGCAAACGGAACAGTATGGATAGCTGAAGTTTTCAGGAGAGATACATCTTTCAGTTTCCTATTAATAGTGAAAATTTGAGAATCATGTGTGATTCCTATAAAAAGTTATGAAGTGCCAAAGTTAGCATCTCAAGCGATATTGTTTAAAAAAATGTTTTTTTNCAACAAAAGCATTTTTATTTCCGACTAAGAATGATCGAACCATTTATACATATGACGTTAAGGTAAGTATACAATAATGAAAAATCCTTCACAGAAACGAAAAACAAGGATTTTAGTCTTAATATAATTTTGAATAAATCATCAATGTTTCAGACACTCTCTTATAGTTTCATGTTGTTCAAGAAAAATAGAAAAATAGTACAAAAAAAAAAAGAAGAGACAGAAGACATCTACATAAAGGAAACAAAGAGAGAAACCGTAACATACATGCACACAATGTATATGAGCTAGTCCATATAAGCCACGACCGAAGTTGCTCAATCGATATCATCAGAACTTGCTCAATTTGAGATATGTTATAGAGGGAAGAGTTTTATGACTTTTGACGCAAGCCGATTCAAAAAATATTGAACCCTCGATTTTTTATGAGCATTTTATGAAAAGGTCTAAAAATGACCATATCTATAAACGGGGGTCCTAATGCAACGATATCTCACGAATGGCTCAACCAAATGAGCTGAAATTTTTTATTGCCATGTATCTCAATGAGTTTTATTTACCATAAAATTTACTTTTTTAAATATTGAGCCGTTGGGATTTTATGAAGCACTCAATATATGAAAAAAGGTCCATTTATGATAACTTTGGCACTTCATAACTTTTGATAGGAATGATATCTGACTCTCAAATTTTTACTGTTAATTGGATACTGAGGGATGTATCTATCCTGAAAATTTCAGCTATCCATACCGTTCCATTTACTCAGGGCAGCCCCGTGAAAAACGGAATTTCGATAAATGCGGGGACTTTCAGGATAGGCTTTCTCCCAAGAAATGGATTGTCTGGGGCGTTGGTTATTAGAACTTTGAAGTACTCTCTTTGGGCTACAATTCTGTAAAAAAATTAGCGCGGGATCTCTGAGATTGACCCCAGGGCACTCATTGCGAAATACGAAAAAATGAGCCTTTTCCTATGGGAAATGCACTCAAGTGCAATTCAAATTTCCTCCAAGGAATTGAGTATGTGATATAAATTTAATGTACTAAAAATCAGCATTAAATTCTCTATTACCCTGTATCGAAATATCCTTCGGAAATGAAAAAAAATTCTTACGAAAAATCCCCTTACCCCCTTCCAGGCTTCTTCCTGTAACATTTTATTCTCACTGCCCCTGTACCCCCCAGGAGGATTTTTCGTAAAATTTTTTTTTTCATTTTCAAAGGATATTTCGATACAGGCTAATAGAGAATTAAATGCTGATTTTTACTACATAAAATTTATGTCATATAGTAGAATCCTTGGAGAAATTTCGAAGTGCACTTGGGTAGATTTCCTATAAAAAAGG